AAACCACCTCAGTATTCTTGCCTTGAGAACCCCATGAACAGTATGAAAAGGCAAAATGATAGGATACTCAAAGAGGAACTTCCCAGGTCAGTAGGTGCCCAATATGCTACTGGAGATCAGTGGAGAAATAACTCCAGAAAGAATGAAGGGATGGAGCCAAAGCAAAAACAATACCCATTTGTGGATGTGACTGGTGATAGAAGCAAGGTCCGATGCTGTAAAGAGCAATATTGCGTAGGAACCTGGAACATCAGGTCCATGAATCAAGGCAAACTGGAAGTGGTCAAACAGGAGATGGCAAAAGGAAGTTTAGTAGTCATAAAAATAATGTTATCTCTAAGTGAATCAACCAATATCTTAGACTAACAATTTCATCCTTATAAAAGTATTCTTAAATATTTATCAGTTAAGTTTATATCAACTTGAAGAAATCCTTGCTCCAACTGTAATCTCAAGATGAATTACAGGACACATTTACCGAGTACCCACTACGGGTCAGATACCGTTCTAAGCACTCGGCTAAAAAAAGAGCCAATAACAACAACAACAAAACCCAGACCTGTCCCCACTCTAGTCTAGTGAGGGTGACGGACAACCATACACAGGTGCTAAGTGCTATAAGCATGGTTCAGGATAATACCCTAAAAACAGACTCATGCTTTCTGTGAACTCAGAGGTAGCTAGAGAGACTTAAACTTCTTATTTCTGAGTGCAGTTTGACAATCTGGTTTTCAGATTTGAGCTTCTGTGTGTTAGTCACTCAGTCATGTCCTGACTCTTTGCGACCCCAGGGATTGTAGCCCGCAAGGCTCCTCTGTCCATGGAATTCTCCAGGCAAGAATACTGGAGTGGGTAGCCATTCCCTTTTCCAGAGAATCTTCCCGATCAAGGGATGGAAGCTTTGTCTCATTATGTCTCCTGCATTGGCAGGCGGGTTCTTTACCGCTAGTGCTACTTGCGAAGCAGTCTGACGATCTGATTTTCAAATCTGAGCTTCTAAATTAGTCCAATTCTTGATTTTTGAAAGTAGATATTTAAAAAGTAAGTGATGCACAGTTAAACCTATGGTAATTTGAGAAACTGGAGGGGTGAGGTTAATATAAGCTAATTTTATTCATGCCCCAAGATCTTCACAAAATGATTTCCTTTTTTACCTTTTTCTTGTTCAAGCCCATTCTGAGATTTCATCATTACATTCTGCACTGTCATTTCTCAAACACTATTAAACTTTCTGGTACATTACACCCTGCTCCTCCTTCTACTGTTCCCGACTTTTAGATGCAACTGCTTCCATATATGCTGACGTCTTCATTATGATAATGATCCAGCCCTCCCTGTCCCAGCAACTGTGCTATTAGATCACTATCTCCTTCTTTAATACCCACTGCTAATTGTATTTATTTATTCCCCACACATGATGATGTGGTCATTTCAGAACTATTTCATTCTTATTGTCTGGTTATATGGAATTTCTTTTTTACATTAATTTATACTTTACTGTAATTTACCAATATCTACATATTTTACCCTTAAATTCTCCTGGTGTTTATTAAGGAAGTGGAAATGTAGCAATCTTTATAGTTATTTCTTATAATTCTCAATTCTCTTCCCTGAAATTTCCCATTATCCAAATATTTATTTCTTGGGGATGACGGGAGGGCTTTGTATAGGGCAGTCTTCCAGCTTTCAGAATACTTTAGTATCTATTAATAGTTGGAGGCACTAGAACTAGAATACAAAGCAGAAGCAAGACCTGATTGCACTGCTCTCATTCAAAATGTCTTCTCCCTCCGGAGAAGGATGAAGTGTGCCCAGCTGGCTGTTTGCAGTAGCGGCACACCTGACCGGCGCCCTCTGGTGGTAAGTGGCTATCCTGAACAGGATGGCTGCTGCTCATCAAGTCTCCACAGAGGCTCTACCGCTGGAAGCCCGAGTACCTCCTGGCTTAGTGGCTCAGATAAAGAATCAACCTGCAGTGCAGGAGACCTGGGTTAGATCCCCGAGTAGGGAAGATCCTCTGGAGAAAGGAATGGCTGCCCACTCCAGTATTCTTGCCTGGAGAATTCCACGGACAGAGAAGCCTAACGGGCTATGTATAGTTCAAGCAGTTCAAAAGAGTCGGACATGACCGATGGACTATCACTTTCACTTGTTCATTTTATATAGGCTTGGCTCCTCCTTTTCCTTCTCTTATTTCTCTTTGTCTTTTCCTGTCTTATTTTTAATGCCTTGTATTCAATGCTGATTTGTTGTTTTTGTTCAGTCGTTCAGTCATGTCTGACTCTTTGCGACCCCATGGACCGCAGCATGCCAGGATTCCCCGTACTTCACCATCTCCCAGAGCTTGTTCAAACCCATGTCCATTGAGTCGGTGATGCCATCCAACCATCTCGTCCTCTGTCATCCGCTTCTCCTCCTGCCCTCAATCTTTCCCAGCATCAGGCTCTTTTCCAATGAGACAGCTCTTCCCATCAGGTGGCCAAAGTACTGTAGCTTCAGCATAAGTCCTTCCAATGAGTATTCAGGATTGATTTCCTTTAGGATTGACTGGTTTGATCTCCCTGCAGTCCAAGGGACTCTCAAGAGTCTTCTCCAACACCACAGTTTGAAAGCATCAATTCTTAGGTGCTCAGCCTTCTTTATAGTCCAACTCTCACATCTATACATGACTACTAGAAAAAAGATAGCTTTGACTAGATGGACTTTTGTTGGCAAAGTAATGTCTCTGCTTTTTAATATGCTGTCTAGGTTTGTCATAGCTTTTCTTTCAAGAAGCAAGCATCTCTTAATTTCATGGCTGCAATCACCATCTGCAGTGATTTTGGAGCCCCCCAAAATAAATTCTCTCACTGTTTCCACTGTTTTCCAGTCTATTTGCCATCAACTAATGGGACGGGATGCCATGATCTTAGTTTTCTGAATGTTGAGTTTTAAGCCAACTTTTTCACTCTCCTCTTTCACCTTCATCAAAAGGCTCTTGAGCTCCCCCTGCCATATGGGTGGTGTCATCACATATCTGAGGTTATTGCTATTTCTCCCGGCAATCTTGATTCAAGCTTGTGCTTCATCCAGCCCAGCATTTTTCATGATGTACTCTGCACAGAAGTTAAACAAGCAAGGTGACAACATACAGCCTTGATGTACTCCTTTCCCAGTTTGGAACCAGTCAGTTGTTCCATGTCTGGTTCTAACTGCTGCTTCTCAACCTGAATACAGGTTTTTTGGGAGATAGGCAAGGTGGTCTGGTATTTCCATTTCTTGAAGAATTTTCCACAGTTTGTTGTGATTCACACAGTCAACGGCTTTAGCATAGTAAATGAAGCAGAAGTAGATGTTTTTCTGGAAATCTCTTGCTTTTTCTATGATCTAACAGATGTTGGCAATTTTATCTCTTGTTCCTTTGCCTTTTACAAAGTGCTGATTTAAGCCTTTACAAAAGAGCATACAGTGAGTCCATAGCAGGAACTCAAGAATGTATACTTGTGACATAAGCTTTGATTTAGTCACAAAGAATGTCAGTGGTTCTGAAAAGAGGATTTTGATCACACATTTGTCATTTTTTATCAAGATTAGAAAAAAAAAAACCCATGAACTGAATGCACACTGAGGGATGTTACTCCACTAGAAGAAAATATGGATTTAATGTCATAATTGATAAATGGGAAATGGAGTCAATGGTGGAACAATCTTTACAAGTTGGTAATACTGGAGTCAACAGCACCTTTTAAAGACAATGTAAATTTCATTCTGTCTCAAGTTAGAGATAAACCAGGAAGATCACTCTAATTTCTCTCTGTTCACCAAATCCTGAGACTGGTGTGTGGATCCTAGTATTTCTAAAAAGGAGTCGGTATTTGTCTCTGCTAATATATCAGCTGGTGCACAGATTTTACTTAATGTTGACCTATGGTATGAAAACTCTTAGTGCCTCTCTAAACATCTGATGTCTTACTTATATCAGCTCAGTTCAAAAATTTGCATTTGATATCTCCTGAATATAATTTTTCATAAAAACAGGAAATGTGATTAGCTTTACCAGCTTACTGGTGACTTCATAAAAGTGTAATATTTCTATTTTTACTCTACAAAGAGGCAAATTACTCCACCTGGAATCATAACATATATAGTCTGAGTTTCAGAGAAGGGTCTATATTATTTAAAAAGTGAGTTAAACTTGATTGAAACTAATTTAAACTATTATCATTCTCTTCATCAAACTCAATTTCTTCTGTAACTTTTACCCTCCCTTTATAGTTTGTAAATATTCAACAACTTAACTGTAAAGTCTAGAAATTATCAGTAACATCTAATTGATAAACAAAGTGAAAAATGCCCCCATTCAAGCCTTGGATAAAACAAGAAGAGTCACAGTTGTCTGTAATGCAGAAATACTATGTGGCAAGAGTAAAGCTAGAAGTGAAGGGTAGAATTACTTTGTATGTTTGAATATAAAACAAATTAAGGGAAAAATCAAGATTCATTAAATAGAAGTGCAATAACTATTCTCTCTGTTTCTGCTCTTACTGTTCTAGAATCAGTTCTCCTTGACACATATAAGTATTATTTTAAAAACATAAGCCAAACCATATCTATCTTTTGCTCACAGCCATCCTTGGCTTATATGAAAGTCCCTGGAGGGTTTTCAAGATCCTACATGAGCTAGCCCTGACTACCTTTTTGACAGCATTTCCTACCAGTCTCCTTTTAACTTATTCATGTTTGGAACCAATCATGCCAGTCAAAGTAATTGTCAAAGTACACGTTCATTCTTGTGGTTAATCTGTCATTCCAAAGACCGTTTTGGTTTTCCATAATGAAGTAACAAATGCTAACACAGGCATAATGGACCAATGTCATGACTACCAAAAGACAGAACGGAAGTTAGTTGTACATATACTTAATTCTTCCAAGAAGCTGTTCTTATAGACATGTCAGCAATCAAGGAAGGAATTAGTCTGCTGATGTGACATTTCAACAAATAACAGGCACTAAAGACTTACCTGCAGCAACTATGATAACATCTGCCAACAGAGTATGGATCTTCAGTTGCTCTTTGGGGGTATATCTGTGAGCTATTGTCACAGTTGCATCACCTGGAATGCAGAATAACTTCTATTAGTAATTACTGAGTTTTTTTTTTTAAGGGAGGCTTCAATTCTAGAGGAGTTCCAGTAACATTCTAAGAATAGTAAAATTTCTTTGAAATTATCAAAACACTTTGCAAGCAAAAGCTAGATATGGAAATCTAGTGACTCAAAATATTGCACCCTTCAATTGACCAGTAGAAAGTCAAATGAGACTAAATGAAGGTATGTGCTGTTCATCATAGGAGATTTGCAAGTAGAGTCCTAGAAACCAAGGATTTGAAAGTTTTATATTGACAGGCCAATACATAGATGCAGGGGATACTCACTGGCTTGATAATAAGATAAACAAATATTGAAAGCAACAAAGTAAGTGCAGTGAAAATGGGACAGTGTGCTGTGGAAACATAGGTGAGAGATTGATTTGCCTTGCTTCACGGCAAATGAAAGGGGAAAAAGTGGAAGCAGTGACAGGTTTTATTTTCTTGGGCTCCAAAATCACTGTGGGCGGTGATTGCAGACATTAAATTAAAAGGTGCTTGTTCCTTGGAAGGAAAGCTATGACCAACCTAGACAGTGTATTAAAAAGCAGAGACATCACCTTGCCTACAAAGGTCCATATGGTCAAAGCTATGGTTTTTCCAGTAGTCACGCATGGATTTGAGAGTTGGATCATAAACAAGGCTGAACACTGAAGAGCTGAGGCTTTCAAATTGTGGTCCTGGAGAAGACTCTGGAGAGTCTCTTGGATGGTAAGGAGATCAAACTAGTCAATTGTAAAGGAAATCAACTCCAAATACTTGTTGGAAGGACTGATGCTGAAGCTGAAGCTCCTATACTTTGGCCACCTGATATAAAGAGCTGACTCACTGGAAAAGACCCTGATGCTGGGAGAGATTGAAGGCAAAAAGAGAAGAAGGTAGCAGAGAATAAGATGATTAGATAGCATCACTGACTCAGTGTACATGAATTTGATCAAACTCCGGGAGAGACTAAAGGACAGGGAAGCCTGGTGTGCTGCAGTCCATGAAGTCACAAAGAGTCAGAAACAACAACAGCTGAGGATATGCCAAAGAAGGCTTCATAAAGGAGTCAATACACATTTTTAGCTCATGAAGTATGAACTGCTGCAGCTGCTAAGTCGCTTCAGTCGTGTCCGACTCTGTGCGACCCCACAGACAGCAGCCCACCAGGCTCCCCAGTCCCTGGGATAGTCCAGGCAAGAATACTGGAGTGGGTTGCCATGAAGTATGAACAACAGTATGCCAATCAGGGAAAGAATAAAAGGGCATTTCAAATTAAAAGGAAAGCAAGAAAAAGTGGACCACCTTTGAAATTATATGTTCAGGAAATGATGACATGGTCTAGGATATAACAGGAAGTACTCCATGCTTTAATAAAGTGATGTAGGAATAAGAGGAGTTGGCAGTGTCAGGGATACCAGAGCTTAATGTGTGAGCCAAAGAAAGGGAATGAGAGAAAGGCAGTGATGAGAGGAGTTAAAGGAAGGACTTCCAGTAAGAACATGGATGTGTTAAACAGGATCTTCTATCTGCTCCTCCCAGATAGCATGCAAAATTACGCAGTTAATGACAACAAAAACTGCACAATCCCCCTTTTTAGCAAAACTAGAAGACATGTTTTTCACAGATTCCAAAAATATGTAACAGTTACCCAGGTGCAGCAGAGTTAGTAGATATCACACAGGGAGAAAGGCAGAAAGAAGTTCAACCAATAACAACATGGCCAGTAGTGGCAGATCTCGGAAAAATGATGACAAAAATATACTTCCTGAAGGTGAAGGAGGTCATAGCAAATTGCAAAATCTGTCTCTCCTATTGCATGTAGGAATAAAGGCAGAAGAAGCCCTCTTGCACCTTGCATAGTTCACAGTGAGTGGTAACACAAAGACTCAGAGGAGCTGTTTAAGCAGGAAATGGCTTGACTCTGTGAAGGTGGTGAAGAAAAAAATCTGAAGGGTGCCCAGAATGTCTTCCCCAAACCCTAGCAGAAGTATCTTGCAAACAGCAGATTCAAGAAAATCCAACTCACTTCATGATAAGTAATCTAAAAAAGGATTTTAAACAGTATCCATAATACTATATAGGGGCTTCCCTGATGGCTCAGATGATAAAGAATCTGCCTGCAGTGCAGGAGACCCACGTTCGATTCCAGGGTTGGGAAGATCCCCTGGAGAAGGGAATGGCAACCCACTCCAGTATTCTTGTCTGGAGAATTCCATGGACAGAGGAGCATGGCGGGCCACAGTCCACAGGGTCACAAAGAGTTGGATACAATGAGCCACTAACACTTTCATAATACTATATAAGGATCAGTCCTGGGGAATTTTGATATTAGTGGTAGTTGAATGACTGTACATTTGTCTAAATTCATGGAACTATACACCAAAAAAGTGAATTTTACTCTATGCAACTGTTTAAATAAATTTTCTTCTATGCAAATGTTTAAGTAAGCAAAACTGCCAGACGCAAGGTCAAAACACCAAAATATAATTTTAAGAATTTACCAACAAAGTAATAAAGTCAACAGAAAAATGTTGTTATGGAAAAGTTGAATACTATGACCAAACACTACGCCAAACACTTGCTAGAACACATTGCTGCTCATAAGTCACAATTTGAATGATCAGTGCTTGAGTTACCAAAACACATAAAATTCATATTAATGATAAACTGGATGAAAATATAAAACCAATTCTAGTGTTAAAAAAATCACCTTAGCAATTTTTATTGCTGCTTTTAACACAATTTTCCCTGAATAATGATGAATCTTGTTTATGAATTTGTCACTCATTCTTTCTCCGATCATTGCATTGCGAGTCACCCCATGCCTGCTTCCATATTCTGCTCTCCTGACTCCCACAAGACTGAGCTCTTTTTTTTCCTCCAAATTCCTTGGCCATTTCTATCCTCTCCTTGTCACCTATTTCCCAAGGTTCTATGATTTTCCATTCCATACCATTTCCCTGGGAACATCTGAACGGCTCCTATACCTTTAAAAGTGATATTTCCTCATATGACTTCCAAACAGACCCCATTAACTCTATTCTTTTACTCAAGATCTACTTGTCCAAGTGCCACACATAAATATAAATGGATGATACATGCACTAAAACCCAAATTCCTTCACTCATTGTGTCCTCCTTCATGTCTGCTAGCTGCAAATGCCACTGCAAACCTGCTCTCCTCCCCATGTTATCTACTCTTATAACGGCACCACCTTCCTTCTATTTTCTGCCCATAAACTTGGCATCATCTATGAAGTCCCCCCTCCCTTCACCACCACCTGGGGTCGAACATCACAAAGTCTAGTCAGAACAGAAGCCGTGTCCTTCGTATCAGTTTTCCTTCCAAAGTCTTGTTCAGTATCTTGCATATACTGAGAGGACTCTCAGTAGGTATTTATTAAACAAATATTACTATAAATATTTGTTATATATAAATATATATTTCTTATTATGTTTGTTATATATAAATATTATTAAAGACATGTAGTTACTAAAAGTAAGTACGAGCTGTAAACAATCAACAAATGTAAAGTGTATGTTTAGAACCATCCCAAGGCACCAGAATCATGAAGCATCCTCCCATCTCTATCTTAATACAGTTCTCCTATTTTTAGAAAACTTCCCTTAGATGTTAACAGCCCACTCAAGCATTCTCTTGTTCCAAATAAGAGACCCCTGGGACTTCGCTAGTGGTCTAGTGGATAAGACTCTATGTTCCCAACGAAGGGGCCCGGATTCGATCCCTGGTCAGGGAACTAAATCCCACATGCCACAACTAAGCCCGGGTGCTGCAATTGCTGAGCCCACCTGTGGCAAGTAGAGAAGTGCATGCACCACAGTGAATAGCCTGAGTGCCTGAGTGCCTCAATGAAGACCCGGCACAGCCAAAAAATAATAATTAAAAAACCACCAAATGAGAGCATCCCAAATCCTTTCAAAAACCAAAATTAAAGCCAAAACCAAACCAAAACCTCCCACTTCATCATTCCTGATGATTTCATTAGGGAACTGAGTGATATATAGTTCAGTGAGTTATATACACATATAATTAACAACCTATAAAGCTTCAAGCAAAAGAAAAAAAACTGAGATGAATTTCAACCAGCATGGAAAGATCTTTTAGATAACTCTACTTCTTAATTAATAATATCTAGTTAATTCTCTTATTTTTACTCCTGAGTGTGGCTAGGAATACTCATGGCAATATCAAAGTCTTTTTTAGACTTGATGGATCAGTTTCTGACTGCTGCACAATCAAACCATGGGAAGGTTTTTAACCTACTATTCATTAGAATAGATGATGACAGCAAAAGAGAAGTGAACCAAGGGAGTTAAGAATAAATGTATTCAAATAATGCCTCAGACTCTTCCGCATTTGCCCCTAGATACCTGTTCCTGGAGGGACTCCCGTGGTCGGATGGTCCTGTGGTTAAGGCTCCATGCTCCCAATGCAGGGGGACCAGGTTTGATCCCTGATAGAGGAACTAGATCCCACATGCCACAACTCAAGATCCTGCATGCTCCAGCTAGAAGATCGAGCACGCCACAACTAAGACTCAGCACAGCCAAATCAATAAAGAAAAATATTTTGGACTTCCCTGTGGCTCAGCTGGTAACAAACCCGCCTGCCAGTGCAGGCAGATGCAAGAGATGCACGTTCGATCCCTGAGTCACAAAGATCCCATGGAGAAGGAAATGGCAACCCACTCCAGGATTCTTGCCTGGAGAATCCGATGGACAGAGGAACCTGGCAGGCTGTAGTGCATGAGTTTGAAAAGGAGTTGGACACAACTTAGTGACTAAACAACAAAACCCTGTCCCTTTTCCTGTGAGTTAGCTGTCCTAACCCTACTCTTATTTAATCTGTCTTACTTGGCATTGTGAAAATTTTGTCATTTCTGTTTTCAATTCTGGTGTTCCATTACTTTTCTTCAGTGAATCCCAGGGCTTGCTGCACCTAGTCATTTCTAGTGCCTTAGCT